AAAAACAATTTCATTATATGCATGTCGCACCATAACAAGTATTATGATTAGAGTTTTATAAGGAACTAGTTTTAGAATCCCTTATATACTAAAGCACAAGTCACTCGAAAAATCAAAATTTGACATGTGGAAAATATTTAAAAAATTTGAGAAAATTAATTAAAACAAATAATAATTTATAATAGTAAAAAAAATTGTATAACGAACCGTTTCTTGTGTTGTTAAAAAAAACGGTTACTTAAAATTAACTACATTACCCATGATCCTCCCCTTTTACCCATGATCCTTTACCTCTTACTACTCATATATACTCCATCAAGAGAAGAAAAGAGATCAAAACTTATTACTCTATTCATAAGACACATAAATTTTTGAATTTCTCTTTTCCATGTGTTGAGCATTTCATATCACTGAGTTGTGGGTTATAGTTTTGATCTTGGGAGTGATTTTCTGGAGCCGTGATGTAAAGCACCGTTGTTGACTTCTCTAAGGCAGCAGCCGTGGCTGCGGAAATACGGATCTCTGCGGTGGTTGTCCCATGGCGATTCCTGGTCCTTCCATCGTCACAAGCTTGGCACTGATATCTTTTAGGATCCATGGTTTAACAATGTTCTCCTACTATATTTTCTTCTGATCCATTTCTTTTAACTCATAATGATCAAGGTTTAAAACCTTATGGAAGTGAGTTCTATGAAATTTTGTACTCTGAATAAAATTAGCGAGGAGACTGATTATACTCTCCATGATGTTTTTTGATTAAATAACGTTTTTTCTTTCTCATTTTGTTGTCTTTGTGAGGAGACTGATTTTTCTCTCATTTGCACATCACATTTTTATTTTTACTGAGAGAGAGATTTGAGCTACAAAGCTTGCTTTCTCCTTGTGTTATCTCCTTTAGACAGCTAAAGTTTGGATTTCTTTAGTAGAAAAGTACTAGAAGATATTTGTTATCTCCTAAAAAATATCTTATATATATGCATATTCTTCTGATAATTCAAAGTTAAATAATACGGATTTTTAGTTAGGGAAAATTGCATAAAAATCATGAAATTGGTAAAAGTTTACACTTTAAATCTTGAGACACATTAAATAATGAAACTTGTAACAATAACATATTAAACATCGAACTAACTTATTTGTTGCACACGTCAAAATTGTGACCGGTTACTGTTTATTAGCAGGTAAAAAGCGATGACGTGGCGGTTTATTTTTAAAAAAAGAATTATTTAAATTAAATAAAATTAGATAAAAAAACAATTTAAATTCTAAAATTGATATAAATTCAGGAAAAATAAAGAAAATTCATAAAATTTAAAAATAAAAATAAATTTATAATTCAAAAGTTTATAATAAAAATTAAAAATACTAAAAATGATTAAAACTAAAAAATAGTAAAAAAGAAATTAAAAAGTGTAAAAATCGATAAAATTTAGAAAATGAGAAATTTATAAAAACATGGAAAACAAAATTTCTAATATCAAAAAATTAAAAATTGAAAATGAAAATACTTGACCCAAACCTCTTTGATGTTTAGGTAGACATATAAACGTTCGGATGTCCGGGTTCAGATCCTTCAGATCATATAGACTTGGATTAAAAACTTTTGCCAACTTCATGGGTTTTGCTAGTTTTGCCACTTTCATGGTTTTTTTCCAGATTTTTTTTCTTAATTTTTACCAATTTGTATATTTTATTTTTGTTGTTATTTTTTTTTGAATTTATAAATATATTTTTTTATCTTTATTAATTTGAATTTTCGGTATTTTAATTTTTTTAATTTTTAATTTTTTCTGATTTTATTAAACTTTCCTAATATCTATCGATCTTTTAAATTTATTTTTTGAAGTTTTCTTGTTTTCAAATTTTTTTGTAATTTCCTATTTTCTAATTTTTATCAGTTTTACACTTTTAATCTCTATTTTTTATTTATTATTTTCACTATTTTGTTAGTTTTAATAATTTTTTACTATTTAATTTATTTTCATTATAAAATTTTAAATTTATAAATTTATTTTTATTTTTTTAATTTGTGAATTTTTTTATTTCTCCTGAACTTATATCAATTTTTAGAATTTATATTGATTTTTATCTATTTTTTTTTTTTTATTAATTAATTTTTTGTGTTTTAAGTACACCGCCACGTTACTGTTTTTTACCTGCTAATACACAGTAACCGGTCATAATTTTGACGTGTGCAACAAGTAAATTAGTTTGATGTTTAATATGTTATTGTTACAAGTTTCATTGTTTAAAGTGTTAGCAGTTGAGTCTCAAAGTTTAAAGTGCAAACTTTTGCCAACTTTAATGTTTTTTATGCAATTTACCCTTTTTAGTTGTATAGTTAGAATTTGGTATTTTTTGTAAGAAAAAGTATCCCCATGCGTAGCATGGATGTAATACTAGTAAGCATATAAATTGATAACTTGTACTGTAAACATTTGTAATATGCTTACAAACATATAGCCACATGTTAATTGGTATTGAAATGATCAACGAATTGTGAGGATGTAATAAGAGCGTGATAAAAGTTAAATATGTATCCTTTAAACTTTAATATAATATGTTGAGTTTTGAATCTTCCAAGTAATTATTTCATAGCAAAACATTTTATTTTATGCGTTTATATGTTGTATTTTGAAACATTCAAGTAATTACTTTTATGAGGATTCTAGAGGTTAGGATTCTAGAGGTTGATGGGTGTCTGTAATTTTGATGAGCAAGCTTTTTCCTTTGTATTTAGAAAAATTACACTGTAGAGCTTTCAAAAAAAAATATTATTCATTATGTAACTAATTGACCTATTTTCTTATATGCAGCATCTCTTTTATATAATATTATTATATAATTTTCACATGTGATCGAAAAAACCTGCAAAAAATTATTAATAATTATATTCTATTACTCATGTCAATATTCTTTCATATTAAATTTATATTGATCACTTTGGAAAAAGTGAACAATCTTCTTCCCAGATTTTTTCACTGTATTCCTAGCCATTTGTTCCAAAGATTCTGCCCATAACAGAAGTTCCTCTTCTTGGAATATGAAATCAGAGAAGACAACACGAGTAACAGGCGTGGTGGTGATTTTCAAAAGCCTTTTTCACCTATTGTAAGTTTTGATTGTCCGGTTAAATCGTTGAAAATGCAGTAGGAGACTCAAATAATTATTTTTGTGTTCGGTTTTCCAAGTATCTTTTTGTCTATTTTTAATTCATCTTTTTACTTGGATAAACTCTTGTGTCACGTTGCACAATCTACTTGTTTGTTAGTTTATGCTTCTCTTGTTCCTAGTATACTAGTTTACAATCACATAGAATATTTCTTTGAAAGTCAAATAGAATATTATGATTTTACTATTCTATTTCACTTACAATAGACTCGCTTGTCATGTATATATTGAATAGATTTGTAGCCTAATTTTTGTTATAAATACTGGATACATATGACATACATTCATATAGAGTAGGTGTTTTACATTTTAGATGATTCTATCGTGTTTTACTAATTGCAAATGAGATTGTAATTATCATATCAGAGTTGATCCACACTGTAATACAGATCCGGTGGTGAAGAATAACAACGGCGGATCGCTAAATGTGTTGATGTATCCAGAAAAAGAGAACGATATGAAGATGATGGCTCGGCATCTCTATATGGTGGTAAAGAATAATGACGGTAGACCAAGTAAATATGTAACGGCATGTCTAAAAAAGAGGAAGAAGTGAAGAATATGGATTCGCCGTATATACTATATTCGGTGAAAGGAATTATAGTATAGGGTACTATACAATTTCAGAGATTGTCTTCTATACTTTACATATTTATATACTATTTTACAAAATGGAACACTCTGTCAAGTTTTCAAATTTGATACTTCTCTTCTCTTTTATTTGTGTGATTGATTATAATACAAATTTCATTTTTTGAATGTTAGAAAAATGTTTGGATTGTGTCAAATTTATGGATATCAGTCTTATCAACAAAAATTCTTATTTTTCTCATACTATTTTACATTTGATACTCAAATTTATTAAATAGCATATGTAAATGAAATAAATCTTATATTATGTACTATTTGTAGATTTGATATTTAGATTTAGTGTTTATATTTGGATTTAGAGTTTAGCGATTAAAATTTGGAATTTAGTATTTAGAGAGTGGGATGGGTCAGGGGTTGGGTTATGAGTTGGGTTAACAAGAATATGAATTTACTATTTGCGTGATATGGAATAAAATACTGTAACACTTGGAGATTTCAATACTCCAATAACGTGTGTTGTATTTTTGTTTTTAATTTGGTCAATCAACTATATACCTTAATCGTATACTAAAGATTTCCAGTGGTAGTTTTTGTATATATATAAGAACATAAACAACAAGAATTTTCTTTTATATTAGATGTTCTAATCAATGGTTTGGTGGTTTTTCCTTGCCCGGCCAAGGGTGTGGCGCAGGTAATATAGTAACGGTTATGCATGATATTTGATAGTGTTCTCCAATCCGCTCCACACCTTTTTCTATTGGGAGTCTTCAAGAAAAATATTAGCATCGTCAAATGTAGTATTATAGTGACCACGGACCTACGAAAATTAATTAAAAATATCTAGACATCTGCTTAAAGTCTCTCCTTTAATTGGTTACTCATGCAAGCAACTAACTCTAGAAAATTTATCTGAGACGTGAGTGAACGACTGTTCAGAAATTATAAGCCTATTGTTTAGTACTACATATCTACAATTTAGACTAGATTTTTTTCTGTTTGTAATTTAGACTAGTTTTTATTTTATTTTTTTCCAAGAAGACTAGTTTTGTATTTATAGGAGAATGGTTTACGGTAAGTAAACCGCCGTAAATATTATCAAAGTTGCTTACGGACCTGAGAAAACTATGATCATATCTTTTATTTACAATCTGAAATATAGAAATAATGAACCTAAAACTTGAAGCTTGAAAGCCTGAAGAAAATGTTGGAATGCATAGGTTTACATCAGAGATAGTTTACTCAAGTAACTTTCGGTAAACATAATACAAAGCATCTTTGTAATTATTCCACAAACCAATAACCACGGTTAATACCATTTCGATAAATCCGTCGAAAACTTTCGGCCATTCCTCGAGAAATTGATTAAGCCATGGCATTCCTTTCTCACTCACATTACCAATCGTCAATGAAATCGAATCTGATATTCGCATGACTCGTCCTTTCGCCAGATCAAGTAATGTAGTAAACATTTCACTGATTAAATCAACACCTAGTTTGCATAATTTGAGAAAAAAGGACTCGGTTGTATCTCTTACCAGCTTGATCAAGGCATAAATGGCTTCCCCTGGAATCTTGAAGGTTTGAACAAATAGACAGAAGGAACATGCTGCGACGTGGAAGATCACATAAGAAATCGAATTGGACAAAAAACTTACAGTTGAGAAGATCAAATTTGCTAAAGCAGCTATCATCTTCTTTGATTTTTTTTCTCTTTGTTTATCAGATTTTCTAAAGCACCGCTTATGACTATTTCTGTGTCAATGCTTGAATCCTTAAGGCTATGCAAGTGGTGACATTCAAAATTTAATTAGGGGGTTAGATTATTTGCTTTGATTAGTAAAACATAATTAGGTAATTGACTTTGAGGCTTTCAAAGACAGACTATATATTACATTAACAAAACCATAATATACAACAACAAAAAGTATATATATATATATATATATATATATATATATATATATATATATATATATATATATAAACCTTGTTTATTCTAAGGTTTTAATAGTAAAACTCTTCAATTAAAGATGAATCGTAAAATATTTTATTTCAAAAACAAATCCGTCTAAACACGGATCAAAATCTAGTATTAGTTTAAAAATAAGATTTATACTGCATCGATTTGGGTTTATGTTTTTTGTATATTCAGTTATCTATACTATTATTTGATAAGTGATTTTTTGAATTCGAGTTCTTACGTTAAAAGTTAGACTGTTAATGTTGTTATTACTTTAATAAATGATTCGATTATTGATTATAAATTAATATAACAAAAATTAACCAAAAATGAAAAAAAACTATAAAAAATGAGAAATTTCCAGAAATAACACTTTCAGATATCATTTTTCAACTTTACAAACCAACTTTACCAATAAAATTTTAATAGGCAAAATACTATTATACCATTAACTAAATAAACTTAACAATTTTAATAAGATTTTGATGGATTACGTTTTAGAGTTTAGAATTTAGGGTTTAAGGTTAAGAATTTATGATTTAGAGTTAAGAATTTAGAGTTTAGAGTTTAGAATTTAGGGTTTAGGGTTATAATTTAGGGTTTAGGATTTCGAGTTTAGGGCTTAGAATTTAGGGTTTAGGATTTCGAGTTTAGGGTATAGCATTTAGGGTTTAGGGTTTAGAGTTTGGGTTTAGAATTTAGGGTTTAGGGTATAGAATTTAAGATTTAGGGTTTCGAAGATAGGGTCTAGGGTTTAGAATTTAGGGTTTATGGTTTCGAATTTAGAGTTTAGGGTATAGAATTTAGGGTTTAGAACTGATATTTTAGGGTTTAGTGTTGATTTATTAGGGTTTAGGGTTTAGAGTTTAGGGTTTAGGGTTTAGAATTGATTTTTTAGGGCTTAGGGTTGATTTTACGGTTTAGGGTTTAGAATTGATGTTTTAGGGTTTAGGGTTTAGAATTGATGTTTTAGGGTTTAAAGTTTAGTATTGATGTTTTTGTGTTTTTTATTTATTTCATATAATATATAAAGAAGAAGGGTACAAGAGTCTTTTATCCTTTAATGAAATGTGTATTTTTGAATGTTCATTTGTTGATGGTAAAAATGAAAAGTGGTATCACCAAAGTGGTATAAGTGAAATTCTCCCCAGATTTATATGCAAATATATATTAGAAAATGGTTATTAGTGACTAAATTTAATTAATCGGCAAATTAGAAAGCTTTATAAGAGTAAAAGACCATAGTGAAATACGTAGAAAAATACAATTCTTCAACTAATTTAAAAAGGGAATGGAAAATTTCTTAATAATATACGAACTAATTTTCATCTTATAATAAAATAAATGAACTATTTTGGATTTCAACTAATTTAAAAAGGGAAGGGAAAATTCCTTAAAAAATATCCGAACTAATTTTCATTTGCTAATAAAAGAACTATTTTGGATCTCTGTTTAATACATGAACTAATTTTTGTTACCTATTAAATACACAAACTTTTGAAATTCACAGATTTTATACATCATTTTAGACGGCATTAACTATATTTATCAGAACTGATGACAACGTTAGTTTTTAATTAAACAAGTGTTTAAATTATGAAAATAAAATTCCTTAAAAATACACGTACTAATTTTCATTTGTTAATAAAATACACAAACTATTTTGGATTCTCATTTAATACACAAACTAATTTTTTTTTTAAAATTAAATATACAATTGAAGATTTTTCACAATTATTTAGCCAACGTCGACTATGTTTAACAGAAGATAACGTTAGTTATAATTAAAGATGTGGTTAAACTGTGAAAAGCATGCTCACTCTCCAAAACTTCTCAAATAGACTAAACCCTAATTTAAATTAGTTTTGAATTTGTTCCAACCTATTTTATTCTTAGAATCCAGTTCATTTTCTTCTTCTTTTTCGCTTTGATTTCTCTTTATATCAAGTCGATTTCCATGTCATGAAAACAATGAAGAAAATTAGATAACTTTAAAAGAGTTTCTGATTTTAGAATTAGTTTAGTGTTATATATTTTTTATTCTTATTCTTCGCTTTGATTATAGTGATAATGATTCAATTAAGGTTAATTTACGCTACGATCAATAAGTTTAATGTTATGAATTAGGTTGTGCATATATTATTTTTATTATGATCAATAAATTTGAATTTCATCAAAACAAATTTACAACATGGAAGCGTAATGGAGAAGAAAGCTAATAATATAATCTATCAGCATGATTTTAAAACTTTTTTTCTCCATAGTTTAACCACATATTTAATTAAAGGGTTTTTAATTAAACATTAACATTGTCTTCACTTTTGTTAAACATAATTGACATCGCCTAAATCATGTTAAATATAGTTGACGTCGTCTAAATCGATGTGTAAACTACAAATTTTTAAAGTTTATGTATATAATGGAAAACAAATATTAGTTCATGTATTAAACGCTGATTTAAAAGAGTTCATGTATTTTATTAGCAAATAAAAATTAGTTCATGTATTTTTAAAGATTTTTTTTGTTTTTCATAATTTATACACATATTTAATTAAACAGTAATATCATCGTCATTTCTGTTAACTATAATTAACACCGTTTAAAATAAAGTGTAAAATCTGAGAATTTCAAAAATTTGTGTATTTAACAGCTATCAAAAATTAGTTCGTGTATTAAATGAAGATACAAAGTATTTCATATATTTTTTAGTAAACAAAAATTAGTCGGTGTGGTGTACTTTTAAGGAATTTAGAAAGGGAACCCTTAAATCCAATTGTTTCGTCTTCCCCCCGCCGTTTTGTCGAATCGCCTTTCTTCTCCGACTACGTATCGCAGTCGCGTTGCACCGCCACAATCTCTCTGTAGTATCCGAGACCCACAATCGCCTGTGTCCGAAAGAGACGTTCGAAAATCCCTTCTCGGTTTAGGCAGTGCTCGTAGATGGCTTACAGAGGGAGAGGTTGGTTTGGCATTCAATATGCAAAGGCAGAACCTTTCGTGTTTTTCCCATGTGTCTCAAAGAGACGTTTGAAAACCCCTTTTCGGTTTAGGCAGTGCTCGTAGATGGCTTACAGAGGGAGAGGTGGGTTTAGCGTTCAGTATGCAAAGGCAGAACCTTTCGTGTTTTTCCCATGTGTCTGAAAGAGACGTTCGAAAATCCCTTCTCGCTTTAGGCAGTGCTCGTAGATGGCTTACAGAGGGAGAGGTGGGTTTGGCGTTCAATATGCAAAGGCAGAACCTTTCGTGTTTTTCCCATGTGTCTCAAAGAGACGTTTGAAAACCCCTTTTCGGTTTAGGCAGTGCTCGTAGATGGCTTACAGAGGGAGAGGTGGGTTTGGCGTTCAGTATGCAAAGGCAGAACCTTTCGTGTTTTTCCCATGTGTCTGAAAGAGACGTTCGAAAAACCCTTCTCGGTTTAGGCAGTGCTCGTAGATTGCTTACAGAGGGAGAGGTGGGTTTGGCGTTCAGTATGCAAAGGAAGAACCTTTCGTGTTTTTTCCCCTGTGTCTGAAAGAGACGTTCTAAAACCCCTTCTCAGTTTAGGCAGTGCTCGTAGATGGCTTACAGAGGGAGATGTGGGTTTGGCGTTCATTATGCAAAGGCAGAACCTTTCGTATTTTTCCCATGTGTCTGAAAGAGACGTTCGAAAACCCCTTTGTATGGAAGAACATCATCTGTTGTCACGGTCTCCCATACGAGATTGTAACGGATAACGGATCGCAGTTCATCTCAAACAAATTCCGAGGTTTCTGCGACCGATGGAGAATACGGTTAAGCACTTCGACTCCGAGGCACCCACAGGGGAATGGACAAGCAGAAGCTACAAACAAGACGATCCTAGACGGTATAAAGAAACGTTTGGACCTCAAAAAGGGCTGCTGGGCCGACGAGTTAGACGGCGTCCTCTGGTCACACCGAACAACGCCGCGAGGAGCGACTAAGGTCACGCCCTTCTCCCTTGCCTACGGCGTCGAAGCAATGGCACCAGCATAGGTCAACGTCACGAGCTTACGTCGTGCCAGGCTCCCGCAGAACGAAGACGTTAACGAGGAAATGATGTTTCACGCTTTGGACCAACTCGAAGAACGCCGCGATCAGGCACTACTCCGAATACAGAATTATCAAAACCAGATCCAAAATTACTACAACAAAAAAATTCATTTCCGACCACTTGAGCTCGGCGACCTCGTACTTCGAAAGGTGTTCGAAAATACGAAGGAATGGAAGGCGGGCAAACTAGGAGCCAACTGGGAAGGCCCTTACAAAATAACTAAGGTTATCAAACCAGGGGTGTATAGACTCGAGACATCATCAGGAGAGCCACTCCCGCGGTCCTGGAATTCACTGAACCTCAAGCGTTATTATCTATAACATCCCTTTACCTAAAAAAAAAAAAATATATATATATATATATAATATATATGTCCGCCGAGAAGATGCGCCTCTGGGCCACTTTTGCCGTCGAGTAGCATTCGCATCACGACCGAGTAAATGCGTTTCACCACTTTTACTCGCCCGAACAAATGCGCCTCGAGGCCACTTTTGTTCGGGCAAAAAAACGAACTACGAATGACTTGATCCTCTAACGAGGTACGTAGGCAGCCCCACCAGGGGGTCAGTCATACCCCAACCAAAACCTACAAATCTGGTTTACTCGAAACCGATACGAAATCGGTCGCACTCGTGTATCCAACAAAGATCACGGCGGCTAACTCGTGCTCGGAAGAAGGT